CCCAAGGACTCCGGCTGTCAGCCCCAGGGGCACCTCGGATGCTCTCTGGCATTCTCTTCTAAGACAACGGGCAGTGTCTTTCAGGGAGCCGTGGGGGAGGAGGCTGAAGCCAGGCAAACCCGCCATTCAGGCTGCCAGTCTCTGAGGACACAGCACCCCTGGTCCTTGCAGAAACCCACAGGAGGCCCCCGCTGCTCCATCTTGCTGATAATTGGAGAACAGAGCCTCAGGTGGGGAGTACTTCCCGTGGAGAGCAGTCTTCACTTATTTATGAAAAAGTACCAGCATTTAACCCACGGAAACTACCAAGTTACGTCTGACAACCGTGTAGAGTAAAGAAGGAACGGCCCGCCCCGGTGGATGTCCTTCGGGAGTATGCCCGTTCTGACTTCTCACATGTTGGTGGGAGATGCTTATTTTTCTTCCATGCTGTTCTTTTTATCCAGACTTGAGATAAAAACCACTCCGTCAGCAGGAGTAACGTCCTCAGACATCTTACAGAGGGAAGAGGAAGCAAGGGGCTCAGGGGAAGACAAGAGACGGGGGGAGGGCCACTGGGGACAGTCCATGCACCCTGGGCAGTGGCCTGAGAGGTGTGTGTGTGGGGGGGGCAGGCCTGGGTGGTGGCAGAACTGCTGGGACCCGGCAGAGGACCCGACCCTCTTTTCATGGACTCTTGCTAATGGGGACCAAAGACCTGGCAGAGAAGCAGGCAGCCGCGGCACTGCTCACATGACCACATCAAGCCGACCTCACCGAGTAGGGCGGCCGGGGGACGATGGCTGTCATCAGGAACCCAAACAGCTGGCAAATAAGCAGCCACACCAAAGTCCCTCATGTCAAACTGCTTTATTACATCTTAAATAACAGTACAGTTTAATATAGTATCTATCTTGCATCCAGCCTCCTTGCAATACACTGACTTTAAAATTAAATACAAACAGTGAGGGGCACAGGGTGCAGAGAGCTCTACAGAGGTGTCGATGGGAAGGAAGGAGGGCTCGTGTTTATTCTCTCTGCCAGATCCAGGCCTACCGCGTGTCACAGCAAAGTTCTGTACAGGCTGCTGCAGAAAACAGGACAGAGAGAAGCCACCACTGCTGCGGGAAGTGGGCTAGGGTGCGGGGAGGCAGCCACGACACCGCCGTCCAGCTGCTGCTGCTGGACGCCGGCCTCCCGCGGGACCCGGGACGTCTGCGTGTTAGACAGCGGTCTGCCTCCACGGCGAGACAGGCCAGGAGGAATCTACAGGGGAAGGCCAGGGTCTCCATTCCCTGCCCCCCACCCCCACCCCCGAATCCAACAGTGATCATTTGGAACAGGACTTTTTTTTTTTTTTTTTGAAAGAAAGAAAGAAAGAGTGACTGATCCCGCTGCCCAAGCGTGAAGCCTGCGGGCTGCCCTGCCCCCGACACTGCAGACGTGAGCGGACAGAGCCGCAGTGGTTACACTGTAAAGAGGTTATTTCTTAAAAGAAAAAGAACATCTAAGGACTGAGTCCTATATGCGCTTTTGAGCATTTCTACAGCATGCGATTCTAAGAGTAAACCCACCCAATATGGCAAACGATCAAATTTTTTAAAATTTAACTTAGAAAGTTTGAGATCATTATTTTCAAAACATTGATTTGTACATGGTTTCATACACAAATAATTGACGGACTATCCAAGCACAGGACGGGCGCCTCTCTGGAAAACAGAGGTTCCTGACGGCTGGGGGTGGGGCGCAGGGTAGTGTTAGGCTATTATTACGAACGTCCCTCCGACTTCACAAGGAAACCCAAGGTGAGATTAAGAACTGAACTGAGAAGGTAGGGAGGATGGGTCGGGGGAGCAGAAGGTGCCTAATCTGAGTTTACTATTCATCACGCATTCAAGACCATCCACAGCATGTGCTTGGTTCCTTTCCTTATTAGCATCTTCCTTTCTATGCCGTGTTTGTGCGTAACAATTATGTGACACGAGACAAAAAATAAAAAACAAGGGACTCAATTTACATCATTAACAATTTCAGAGAGGCTGCACCAGACCCTCTTCCTCTGTAACTACTGAACGTAAAGGAATATATTTTAAAAAGGAAATATGAATGTTTGCAGAATTGTTACAAACACAACCTGAAATTTAGAACTGATTACAAGATAAAATCCTCAACTTGTTTTGCATGAACAGCACAAAATAGGGTCACTGACCTAAAATTCAAATGAACTAGTGAAAAGGTGTGTCTGCCTCGCAATTACACTCAAGTTTACCTTCTGGTTAGCACGTTTATTATAGTATTTCCTTTTAAATTCATTCAAGACAAAAAAGAAAACAAAGACAATGGTCCCGGGAGGAATGCACAATTTGTTTGAGTTTACAGCACAGAGATTCTTCTCTTCATGGGAATTGTGCTCTTGGTTTCAGCAATAAGTGAAGGAGAAGGTCTTGCCCTTTTGAAGTTCTGAGGGGGTGCAGGGCGTCCACGTTAGTAGGGGTGGATTGGAAATGCTATCACTGTAACGCTTCAAGGTTGGAATGGTCTTCCAGTCGCCACGACG